CCTTGTAGTAGTAGAGAGGAAACCAGGCCTCTAGGAAGCTAGGAAATCAATCACAAAGCCATGCTTATAGTGGAAACAAGGAACGTGTTTCCATAGAAGCTTTGGCATATTCTAATCCAGTATGTATATATTTTGATGTGTTTCATTTCAATTTTTATATAAAATTTTTATTTGACTAATACGAAATTTTTACAAGGACAAAATAGTGTGTGGTTTTTGCATAGTGTATACAACACCTCCTTTTTGGCAGCCCTTTGTTGGCTGTTACTTCATTTTTCTAACATGTAAAGCTCATAAAATTCTTAATATCATTTTATTTCTGGATGTTTTGGGCTGTCACTTAATGTATGGGTTTGAACAAATTCTCGTAGTGCAATAGCTCAAACACTTCAAGGTATGACAAGCCAGTAGCCAGTTTTCTTTCGTTCCTTCTGTTTATAGCATCTTGTACTAGTTGCCAAATGCTGTATGTATACATGCACTCACCTACCTCTCTGCTGTCTGTCTGTCGAGAAACTAGATGTTATTCTAAATTCATTGGCCAGCATTTTGCATGATGTTCAGCTGGCTGCTGCTCCTCACAGAACCTGCCCTGTCAGAGCACTCAGACTAATTTGCATGTGGTAATGATGGTTCCTCTATCTCCCCATTCACTTTCACTTGCGTGTGACCCATCTGCCCAGCACTTTGCAAAGTGAGAGGCTTGAGAGAGCTGAGATGCAGGCTGTGGTCACAGGCTGGGGTTATTCCCAGCGCCCTCTCCGGCCCCTGAGCCACTGTTAACCACTCACAAAGGCCAGTGCCCTTTGATACAGAGCATCTATCATGTCCACAGGAGCAAACACTCTGGGTCACTGTTGTTAACCCTGTAACGCGAGCATGAGTATGTGCATTTCAGGAGAGGGAGGTTATATAGAAAAGACAGAAAGAGAGCAGCTGAACACCTATCACCACAAACACAGAGGAGAAATTAGAGGCTAAAAGGAAGGGCGTTTAGGGGACATTGGGAAGAAACACTGAACATGTGAGAACAAGAAGAGTTGAAATCGCCACCATTCTCTAAATGAGTCCACATCGCATCCACAAACTCATGCAGTGGTCTTAGGCACATAGCGCTTGTCAGAGATAACTCACCACAATTGGCTGATGTGCCTGAAAGCAAATAAACGCTTCATTGGGCTATTTGAGTGATAATTTCAATGCAAGAGCACAGTCACTTTGAGCGTTGATAGCTCCTTGATTTCTTATCCTAACTCTCATATTGTAGAACACAGAAGAATAAGTATACTTAAGTCTTTCATAATTTCATTCCTCAGGCAATATGGTCATTAATAATTAGAATATTCATTTCATATTTGTTTTCTGAAATTCCAAATCATTAAGTATGGGTATAATGTTAAATCCTCAGTCTTTTCCTATAACATAATGAAATTTTTTCTGCATTTTATTAACTTTAGCAAAGTCATAACTTCCGTAGCAATAGATTATTTCTTCCTATGATTATGCCATTAGTAAATATGATTTTGCAATTGGTGAATACACTTCTTACCTTTGAACATCTGTCGCCAATTTTAAGATATACAAATTTCACGACACCATGTGTCCTTGTGAACATACGTTTTTATGTGGGACTATACTTATTGCCTGAATAACTCCACAATAAAAAGATAGGCATTTCTGTATTTTGCTGTGCTGTTCCTCAGGAGAAGGGCTTTTTTGCTACATTTCTCCTGGTACTGAACACAGTGTCCATTCATCCACTATACCTTCATGAGCATGCCATACTAGTATTTTTTTAGAAAGAAATGATATGTTTGCTTTGTTTTATAAAAGGGGGTCATAAGACAGACGCTCAGTTTTCAGCTATGAAATTGTGAGAGATCAGTCCTTTAAACCCTCAAATAAACTCTTAGATGTGATATTCTTTATTACAATTGTAGACAGATCGAGTTTATTTGAATAACCTTTATGCTGGTAAGCCTCTACTTTCTATTTGTTTGTTTGTTTATTCACTTTACATATTGACTATAGTCCCCTTCCTCCTCTCCTTCAGGTTCCACCCTCCCCTACTCCTCAGAAAAGGGGAGCCCCCACCAACCCACCTGAGCACATCAAGTCACATCCAGACTGAGTGTGTCCTCTTCCCCTGTGGCCAGACTAGGCAGCCTGGCCAAGGGAAAGTGACTGAAAAGCAGGCAACAGAGTCCGTGTCAGAGTCAGCTCCCAACTCTGCTTACTAGGGGACCCCACATGAAGCCTAATGTGTCCATCTGCTACATCTTTGAGAGGACCTAGATCCAGTCCCTGCATGGTCCTTAGTTGGTGCTTCAGTCTCTGCAGACCCCCTGGGCTCTAGTTAGTTGGCTCTGTTGGTCTTCTGATGGAGCTCCTGTCCCCTCAAGTTCCTTTTTATCCTTCCCCCCACTTTCCCACAAAACTCCCTACTCTTCATGCAATATTTGGCTGTGAGTCTCAGCATCTGTTTCTGTCTGCTGCTGGTTGAAGCCTCTCAGAGGACAGCTATGGTAGGCTCCTGTCTGCAAGCATATCATTAATAGTGTCAGGGGTTGGCTGTCTCCCATGAGTGGGTCTCAGGTTGGGCCAGTCATTTGTTGGACATTCCCTCAATCTCTGCTCTGTCTTTATCTTTGACCATCTTGTAGGCCGGTAAATTTTTGTGAGTAGGTTGGTGTTCTGCTTCCTCCATTAGGAGTCCTGTCTAGCAGGAGGGTGTCCTCTTCAATTTCTATGACTCTACTGTGAACCTACTGTCATAGGTCTCTAGCTTGTCACAGAGATTCCCTTGCCATGGTTTTCCTTCTCCCTGTAAGCCCTCTGTCCTACTGCCCCTACTCTCCCCAAGACTGATATCTACCCTCTTTTCTCTTTGTACTCCCCCTCCTAGCCTGTTCCATCTCTTCAGCCACTTCTGCTGTCTATTCTATTTCCCCCTTCTGAGTGATATTTAAACATCCTCCCTTGGATCCTCCTTTTTACTTTTCTTCTTTAGGTTGTTGAATTGTAGTACGGTTATACTGTACCATGTGGCTAAAATCTGCTTATAAGTGAGTACATCCATGTGTGTCTTTTGCGGTTTGAGTTACCTCACTCAGGATGATCTTTTCTAACTCCAACCATTTGCATGCAACTTTCAAGATGTCTTTGTTCTTAACAGCTGAGTAGTATTCCATTGTGTAAATGTAGCCCAGTTTCTTTATCCATTCTTTGGTTGAGGGACATCTTGATTGATTCCAGTTTATGGCTATTACAAATAAAGCTGCTATGAAAATATTGAGCAAATGTCCTTGTTGTATGGTAGAGCATCTTTGTGTATATGCCCAGGAGTGGTATAGCTGGGTCTTGAGGTAGAACTATTCCCAATATTCATACAACATGGTTGTTCAAGTTTGCACTCCCACTAGCAATGCAGAAAGGTTCGCCTTTCTCCATATCCTCACCAGCATGTGCTGTCTCTTGAGGTTTTGATCTCAGCCATTCTGATGGATATAAAATGGAATTTCAGAGTCATTTTGATTTGCATTTCCCTGATGACTAAGGATGCTGAGCATTTCTGAGCTTCTACTTTCAAACTCAAATTATGATAAGATTTGAAAAAAAAATTAAATAATCCCAGCAAGGGATGGGAAGTGGTGGCACATGTCTTTAATCCCAGTACTCAGGAGGTAGAGGCAGGCAGATCTCTGTGAATTCCAGGCCACCCTGGTCTACAGAGTGAACTCCAGGACAGCCAATGCGACACAGAGAAACCTTGTTTCAGAAACTAAAAAAAAAAAAAATTCCACGTGTTACACTGCGTCATTGTATGAAGTGTTTGCATATTAACTCACCACCATGAGCTTGAGCTTCCTTGTTTTTATTTCTTCCTTTTCCCCATGGATACTTGAGCATATTTTTAACTATTCATTGAAAACAGAATTTATGTTCTCAAGGCTGTACAGATAGTTCAGTAGGTAAAGTGACCAGAACACATGTAAAAAAGCTAAACATGATTTCACATGATTTACAGCCCAGGATTGAGAAGGCAGAGACAGGTAGATCCCCAGAGCTCACTGACCAGCCAGCCTTGCCTACTCAGCAAGCTCTAGACCAGCAAAAGACCCTGGCACAAAAAAAAAAATAAATAAAATCATAAAACAAGACAGAACAAAAAACAAGAAGGGATAGCACCCGAAGAACAGGCCCATTGCTCTCTGAACTCCACATGAATACCCATACAAAAGAAACATGTACATTCACTTCCATGTACATATGAACACACACAACAAAGGAGTTCTATTCAAATGAATGACCAGGTCAGTCATTTCAGCTTAGATTACAGATATCATGCAGAGTTAAAAGCCATAGCTGAAATGATGCTAAACGAAATGATGCCTTTTTTATTAGCTGGGTTTGATGATGAAAAAAATTGTTCGGTAGAGAGCTTCCATAAACCACATAAACCTCAAAATGACGGAGCTGGCAGAGGACTTAGAAATCAGGACACCTGGTGCTGTCCTCTAGTAGGCAAAGAAATGGATATGGATGTTGATGCAGACAGCGCAAGGTCACCCAGCTGGACAGTAACCTTTCACCCTGGGTTCTTTGCTCTGTATCCACCTCCTTCTCAGGCCATGCTCACCAGCTCCAGTCCTCTGAGTGCTGAAGAATTCAGTACAAGTTCCTTCACTCCTAGCCTCTGAATCTCCTAAGAAACATGTGCGAAAATAAAATTCCAACTGGTTCTTTGATTATCCTTTCTAACTCCTACTTCGTTCAATTTGTAGTAGGGACTGACAAATTGTAAGCCACGTAAATCAATTCCCTTTCAAGAATCGAGAATCGGCAAAGACATCTTGTAACCCAGGAGCTGCGTGTTGTCTCCGATTTCAAATAAACTAAACTTTACCTTTAGGAGGCTGGACTCATAATACCTATGGAAGACATGGAGCTGGAGAACCGCACCATTATTTATGTACTCTTGTGCTTGTTTTTCCTACCAGGTACCTGTATGCCCTTGGACAGAAGGTTTGGAAAAGGTGGAAAAAGCGTTACTTTGTTCTTGTTCAGGTCAGTCATTTATTTTCCTGTTAGGTAATTGCTCTCTGACTGTTACTATCAGAATTGTTATTTGTTTGTGTCATAGCTCTTTATAATAATTCTTGTATTAGAAATTAAAACTGAGAAAGAGTTTAATTAACTCATTAGAGAGTAAAGAAGTAGTGAATTCATGATATGTATGCCAGCACAGATAACATTTTTTTAATATCAGCCAACAACCCGAGAAACTTATGATGAAATGACTGAGATACTGTGCTTTTGTACAGAATGCAGTTCTTTTCCTTTGTTAGCCTCTGTGTTCAGATAGTTGAGGTATCAAAGTCAACAGTCACTTCAGCATGTGACTATGAAGTCCATGTGGAAGAGGCAAATAATAATAATAATAATAATAATAATAATAATAATAATAATAATAATAATAA